CCTGCCGTTCACTAGCCATGACCTTGGGCCACTCACCTACAAACCCTCAGGCCTCAGCGTCTCACTTCCCAAAAGAGAGAGTTGGACACCTCTCCCTCCCCAGCCCAGCCCCAGCGGCGTGGGCTCCGTGCTGGGTGGGCGATGGCGCCTGTAGGACTCAGCCTCTGCTCCGGCTGCCCAGGAATGGGGCTGCAGCACTTCCATGAAATACTAATGGGCAGACTGCACCAGGAGCAAGGGCGGGCGGCGTGGGGGAGGGCGGCGCGTTTGCCGCAGTGACAGCTACGCGCCGCCGCGGGCCTGGGAAGCCGGCGGGGCCAGCGCGCTCCCGGCCTTTCCCACCCACCAGGCAGGGCGTTCCCGCCAGCCGGCTTCCTGCAGTCGAGGGCTGGGGAGGAGGGACGGCGCTGAGGGGCCGCGGGGACTGGCAGGCCTGGTTCCTGGCTTTCTCTCCGCGTTTCCTGAGCAGGACCGGCCGGGGGATGGGACCCAGCACAAACCTTCTTCCCCGGGAGCGCAGCCAGAAAATCACGTCCTTGTTAACTCCGGTTCCTCCTCGGTGCCTGAACAGTGCTGATGTAAGTGGGTCCATAATCTTTTAGTCCTTACAACTGGGTATGATGCGACCCACTTACTCCAAGAGGAAACAGAAAGACGAAATGGCAGACCCCAGGGCCCACAACACAGCTAGATTCCAACCCCCATGATGTGAGTTTATTAAGTCCATCCTACGGATGAGAAAACTGAGGCTTTAAAAAATGAAGTGACTTACCCAAGGCCATCATAAAAATATAACTACTAATAAAATAAAGAGCTTACTACATACCAGGCACTGTGCTACAAATACTCTAAAAAATATTTCATCATTGAGTCCTCAGAATTTATGATGATAACTATTGTATCTATTTTATAAATGAGGAAACTGAGAACCAGAGAGGCCAAGTGGCTCTTCCAATGTCACACAGCCACAAAGCAAGCAGAGCTAGGAATTATGTAAACTCCAGTCTCCTGTTTCCAGAGCTCAGACCATTCCACTATCCTGCTTCCCAGATATCCTGCTTCAGCTCATCACAGTTGAGTAACCTGAGGGCCAGCACCCTGTCTCATTTGAATCTGGGTCCCCAAAACCCCACCTGGAACCTGGCACAAAAATCGGTGCTCAGAAATGACAATGAAACCTAGCACAGAAGCTCAAAGTTAGGTGGTAGGGAGCATCTAGCTTGACGCCGCCTAGAACCTTCAACCAAATGAAAATTCAGCCTCTGCTTGAATACTTATCACTATGAACTTTCTCTTTCCCATAATAGCCCATTCCCCTGTTGGACAAATAGTTTTTTTTGTTTGTTTGTTTCTGTGGGGTTTTTTTAGCTGAGCCATCCTGCCACCTGTTGGCAGCTCAGCGGCTGCTCAGCGGCTGCTCAGCTCAGGCCGGGACTCGAACCGCTGTTGCTCAGAGCTCAAACTCTTGAGCGAGCTCTTAACCAACTGAGCCACTCGGCCGGCCCTGGACAAATAGTTTTGGTCTAGTAAGTGAATACTCCATTTTGCTCAGGGTTCCCTGTAAACAAAGGAAGACCATTTCCCTCCTCGTGGCCATAATACATGTTGTGTGGTATTCTTAGCCATTTTATAAGGGTAGATGGCTCAATAATTTTCAGTTCCTTGTGAACTGGAATAATGTCAGCTGTTCACCAAAGATGTTCCTTTCCTATGTGTAGAGTTGTTTCAGAGAAAAGCAGCTCAGACTACATTTTCCAGCACCCCTTGCAATTAAGTATGTGACTCGTTTTCACCAGTGGGAAATGGGCAGAGACAACGTGTGCAGTATCCAGGCCAAATCCAAGTTAAGAAGTGTGTTTGCTTTCTCAAAGCTCTCTCTTTTCTCTCCCAGCCAACTGGATGCCAACGCCAGGGCAACATTGGAAACCACATGTTGGAGGTAATGGAGTCTTGGTCAGCCTGGTTCTTACTCAGTTGCTTGACTGAGTGGGGCACACATTGAACTAGTTGCTATTGTATTTAGGCGTTGAGATTTCAGGCTTTCTCTGTTACAGCAGTTAGCATAACTAACAATGCAACTAACTTGGGCTCATTATTATAGCTTCCACATCACGGAGCATGTTGGTGATAACTTAGAGATGCTCAAAAGACATTCATCTAGCATTGACGGTGTGTTCAGCTGGCTCAGCTAGTCAAAAATAGTCTCCGTTCATCTCATTGATGCATTAGGTACTGCCTATTCCAAAAAGGGTTTTGAGGTGGTTTCCACTGCAGCCTCAAGCCTATTTGATGGATAATTAAAGAGCAAGAATCAAGGAGTAATGAAAGCCTGAACCAAAGGCTAATAGAAAAGAAGGGAAGAAAGACAAAAAATTGACTAATTATAGAAGAAATGCTAGGCTAAGTTTTCTAAGGTTAGCAACTGACACGGCAAAAACCATGACTCTGAGTTTCCTGGCAGTCAAAGTAAAGAGGGAAACAGGATGAGTTACAAATAATATGGGAAGCAGTATGTATGTGATTAAACACAGATCCTGGACCCAGACTGTGTTTTTTTGAAGCCCAACTCTACCACTTGCTAGTCATGTGAGCTTAGGCAGTTATTTAACTTCTTTATGCTCTGTTTTTTTGTCTCAAAAATGGGGACAAGGGCCGGCCGAGTGGCGCAGTGGTTAAGAGCTGGCTTGGAACACCAGAGGGCCCCGGTTCAGATCCCACATATGAGGGCCAGTGGCACTGCCCTCCACAGCTAAGATGCTGAACAACAGCTCAACCTGGAGCTGGGCTTCCGTGAGTCGCCGGCCACGGCTAGGCTGCAGCCACTGCTGCAGTGGGTTGCCATGGGCTACCGTGTGTAGCCAGCAGCCAGCGTGAGCGGCCATCCAGAAGCCGACGACTGATCTGCCTCGCCCAGGAAGAGCGCAATGATGGTGCCAACTTGGGCCAGTGAAGCAACGTCCTCCACAACTAGACTGAAGAACTAAAGGACAGCAACTTGTCTGTTCCCCTTCCCCCGATTCCCCAGCGCTGTTCCCATCCCCCAATTCCCAATAAAAATCTTTAAAAAAAAAATGGGGACAATACAATAAGAAAACCCCCTTCTTGGGGATCATTGGGAGGATTAAATGAGTTAACCTAGGGCCCTGTGTGCCTTTCTGCTGACTGTCCACAGGGCAGGTAAGTGTCGTGGTGAGGAGCAAAGGGGTTGGTGTTAGACAGACCCAGGTACCTTTGTTAACCTCCTCCATTACAGTTTCTTCATCCATACAGTGGAGACAATAACAAGTAGTACCTACCTAAGAGAGTTGCCATAAAGATTACATAAAAGAATATATACAAAACACTTTCCACAATAATGGGTACTATAGACAGACTGCAGTACACAAGCATCCTCAAAATAAGGAAGAAACCAACAAAATATAACAGAGACTCTCACCGGAGACCCCTGGAGTAAGGAGAATAATTTTAAAGTTTCAAAAAGTAGAAGGGCAATGGTACATTTCTCCCAGAATATGACCCTGGGCTCACCAAATCATCATTTCTTTGCTTCTGCCTGGAGCTCCCTTGGGCCTAACTCAGTGTGGTGTGCAGCCTAGGTTGGCCCACTGGCCTGGGGAGGTGCCACTGAGCAAGAATCACCATGGCACCATGACAACAGACTCTCTTTAAAGGGGGATTGAGAACCCGAAGGTTCCACGAGTTGGGTGGAAAGCCTTGGGCTTTATATACATTACCTTGTCGAGCCTCCACAACAGCTTCAAGGGGTGAGCCCCAATCACAATCACATTTTACAGTTGAGGAAACAGAGGATTAGAGACACAAAGTGACTTGTTTTTGGTCACACAGCCAGGAAATGGCAGAACTGGGACATGAAAGAGATGGGTATGCTGCATGATGTGTTCCTAACCATTAGACGACACTGCTTCCACCCTCCAACCTGATCCAGCAGCTTGTCTCTCTCTCTCTTGAGCCAACCACTCTCTTCCTAGGCTGTCTGTTTTTATCAAAGATACTCTAAGAAACACCTAATGCAGGGCCGCCTACTCCTTCTGCCCGGCCCCAGGGCAGCCCCTTCCCCTGTAGACGCTATCTCATGGGCAGGACCGAGGAGTTTCACTGGGGTGTCTCTAGCTGATCAGAGGCTCTGAGTGGATGGAAAATAAAACACCATCTCCATCACCCAAGTCCAGTCCGCAGCTCTTATTTACTCAGCCTCCTGGTTGGTCTCTTCCCCACCTCCATTCCACCTCCATTCCTCCCTTCACACACAGCCAGACCGATTACTCTCAACACTTTGTCTAATCAAGTCATTCCCCTGCGGAACAATATTCCATAGCTCCCTGTTGCTCCCAGTTTAAAGTTCAAAGTCAATAGCTTGCTTTAGTCCCCAAGACCCAGCCTACCTTCTCCAACCCTCTCTTTCCTCTCAGGCATCCTTGGCCCCATGGCTCCAAACATTGATAATTCCCAGCTTCAGAGCCTTGGCACACGTAGTTCCCTGTGTGATGTGAGATAATTTAAAAAAGAAAAAAAATGTGAATGAGTGTCAGCCCTAAGCTGGGCTGTGAGTCTGTCAGATTCCTTTAACCTCACCTTCCTGCCACCCGAAGGAGAGACTTCTCTGCCAGGGGGAGTTGCCCACTGTCTACTCAGGAAGAAAGCACCAGCAGCTCTGGCTCTGTGTAGAGCCCTGGGAAATGAGGACCTTATCTTGCACCCACTCTATGTCGGAGGCTAGGTGTCAGGGAGGTGACATGATAAAGCAGCAAAGGGGAGCTAAATTTCTTAGCAAGTCTGTGTGATACCTGTGTCCAAGCTTTTACCAGCTAGCTTATGCTACCTCCTTGGTTGAGGCAGAAGTCACCCTCTGTATAATGCATACAGTTGCCCTAGTGCTGTCCTAGAGCAAGCACAGGCTTCGCACCTCACCACTCCCACTTGCTAAGGAAAATGGCTCTTAAAAAGTGAGGAAGGTGCCCACCCCCGCTTTGATTTCCGCGCCTTTCCCTGGTCCTCCTACGCCACCTGGTGGTCATATTTGGAATACATCGGGATTTCTGACAACAGCTCTGAGGAAGGAAGTCTAGGGTAGGTAGATCCACTTAGAAAAAATTCTCAAGGGTGGCATTTTCTTCTGTCTACATCCCTCTCTAAGGCCCCAGTGCTCACCTGCGCCTGAGGTTCTGAGAAAAGCAGAAGTTGATTCTGTCTCACTGTGGAATCTGGTCTGTCACTGCCCCTTTCTGGTCTCACGTTCCTCATCTATGAAG